ACTGAAGACTGACTGTGTGTTGGACCCAGGGCTAGGGTGGTATGTACACATTTGAGAGCGGATATCCCTGGGTCTGAGTCCCCACTGCCAATGGAACCATGGCCCTCCCAGTCCCCAAGTCTGAAGGAAGCTGGGGAGGCCCAAATCCTACATTAGGGTCTCTCTCAGGGAAGGAAAGGACCTGGGGGAGGGGGAGGGGGATTCTAAGGAGTGAAACCACTTCCTGTGTAGCTAGTTCCTGTGTTGACAGCTGAAGGGGAGGTAGGGGTGGAGGGAGCAGAACTGGGGGTTGGGGTCCGCCCGAAGCTCTGGAGATGACAAGTCCAGGAGTCCTTCCCGCCGTGACCCCACTCCACTTCTGCAAGGAGAGGAGTTTTTCCCAGTCCCCATGCTCCCCTGGGGCGAGAGAGGTCAACCCAGCTGGGTGGGAAAAGAGAATGGAGGAAGTTGACAGGGATGGGCGGGGCCCGTGGGGGGGCTGACCAGGAACCCAGCTTCCTGCTCAGTACCCAGACATCCAGCCCCCAGCTCACCCCCACCCCTTCCAGCCCCCACTGCCCTCAGGAACCCAAGGTTCCGGCCCTCCTCCCAAATCCCAGCTACCCTTCCCCCTCAGCTTCTCCCTCCAGGGGATGGAGGCCGAGAGACCGCAGGAAGAAGAGGATGGTGAGGTGAGCCGGGCACCGGGCACCGGTGGGGAGGCTGGCACCGGGAGGTGAGGGAGGTGACAGAACTCGGGGTAGAGAACGAGTCCCAGTGGATACAGGACCTGGGAACCCTGGGCACATGGAGGCAAGAACAGATGCAGAGGACACGGCCCTGCCCTAGCCCCCTGCCCACCCCACTCCTTCCACGTACCCCGCGTCACTGGAACGGACATCTGTTGGCACAGGGCCCCTCTCGGGATGAGCAGGGCTGGCCCCCTCTGAACTCCACCACTCGGCCTTGGCGATCTGCTCCTCCGTCCCCTCCTCCTCCGGGGGCCCGCCATACAGGTACCCCCACTCACGAGGGAGCCCCCACCCCTGGTGCCCACATCCCAACACCACGTCAAGGTGTGGGCCATCACGAGCCCTCTCCCCCTCCTCTGGGCACCCTCTCTCAGCCCCTCTGCTCTGACCCAGAGCTCCTGCCCTACGCCCCACTGCTCTGGTCTGCAACTTCTCCGGGTCTGTGAGCTCCCCTCCTCTCCCCAGCCCTGGGACCCCGCTCGGCCTCCCTGATCTCCCTGCAGACTGAGCTCCTTCTGGACCTGGTGGCTGAGGCCCAGTCCCGCCGCCTAGAGGAGCAGAGGGCCACCTTCTGTGCCCCTCCAAAGCCCCCAGGCCTGGCTCCTGCCCCACCCCGGCCTCTGGAGGACAGGGAGCAGCTCTACAGCACCATCCTGAGCCACCAGGTGAGATGCCCAGGCCTCCTGGTCTCTGCCCTGTTTTCTGGGCCCGCCCCTCTTCTGGGCATCTGCCCCATCAGCAGCCCCTACCCCCATCCCATCCCAGTGTTCCTATACACCCCTGCACCAGCCCTGGCTCCTCTCAGGCCCCTCACCTACGCCCTTCTCACCCCTCCAGTGCCAGCGGATGGAAGCCCAGCGGTCG